CATGAAGCTTCGATTGTTAGTAAATTTTGTGAATGAGAAAAATCTCCTTAAAATGTGTTAATTTATACTAATCCACCAACATTACGATTTTATGTCAATATCTGAAAGTTGTGGATTTATCAGTTGTTCTGCGGGATGTTATGGATATTCGATAACTGAACACGATGTCTCTCTAAGTTATTATCTCGTACACTATATTGTATAGTCTGTTTATTTTGTAGAATTTCGAATCTCGTGCAATATTATTCGAGGGATATTTGTGCTAGTCGTCTCTAATTTTCAAGTAACAAACTAGAAGGAAGGAAGCTAGTCAACATCACCCACCGCCATCTCTTGAGCTACTATTTTACCAACGAAAAGTGAGATTGGCCATCACATTTTAACTTCCCCATGGTTTAAACTACCAAAGATATGATAATTTTGTGCGTGGTATTTGTTGCTTTAATTCATAGTGGGAAGTTCCATTATGACGTAAATTAAAAAAGATGAACATCGTTATTTCATCCAATAACAGTTTTCGATGTTAACGAGTAGTTGGTGGCCGATCGTGTTTTCTTCTGTGTTATCCTGAAAAGATAGAGTTTCGTGTACAAAGAAGTAGATCCAAAAAGACAGAACAATTAGTTTAATAATACTGTATGTGTGTGTGTGTGTGTGTTAAAGATTTATTTTCTTTTTCACCAGAAGTGAAATTGAAAAAGAGAATCTGTGACGTAGAGGCCTCGTGTATTATTTGATTGCCTATACCCTCTGCTGTGGACTGCAGTTTCATCTATTCAAGGCTCATCAGCACAGTTTGGGTCAGCAAACCAAATAAATACCATTAGGTCTCCTATAATGGTTAAGTGGATATAATATCTATGAGGTTTGAGCCTGTTTCACTGTATAATATCTATGAGGTTTGAGTCTGTTTCACTGTATAATATCGAAAAATTAATTTGACGAAATGTCGTAGCATTACTCATATACCTAAATTATTTTAAGTTTCTATATGGTGAAGTAAAACGGACTAGAAACACCATAGATAATATAGTTAAATAAGCAAAAGTTCTCGAAAGTTGTTAAAGACGTAGAGAAAAATAGTTAAAGATGTATCTTTAGCTTTACAAATAATATTTATTTATATCTAAGAACTTGAACTGTAATTTCTACCTGCTATATATATATATACATAACTGATGTCCCCCAGTAGCACAGCGGTATGTCTGCGGACTTACAACGCTAGAAACCGGGTTTTGATACCCGTAGTGGGCAGAGCACAGATAGCC